GCACCGTTTCGGTGTATGAACTGGTGATTCTAGTTCTTGTTTGGTTGGCCGCATGCCCTAGGTCTGAGTACCCATGTATGAGTTTGGTGTGGTTACCACCAGCTATTGAAAAATGAAGAAGAATAGAAGGAAACAGAGATAACTTTGCCTCAGTTCAACAAGCTTGGCATTGACAATGACCTTGGAGCTTCTAATGACATAAACATGACAATAGTACTCCCAGCAAATCATGAACAGGGCCGTGATTGGTTGCCCAAAAGTCACAGTTCCTCACAAGGTCATTGTCTCCACACGTTTTCATGGCATTTTGAAACCATCACAGGCAATATGAAACAATCAGGGGCAGCTACAACAATGCTCGGCAATGAAAAGCTCAAGCATCATCAAAATAAACAACCGAACTCAAGCATAGACCCCATGCTACTTTCCCCTACATGCAACTTACCAAGCCATGGCATTTTGAGCATCACAGACAGTTGTAGCAATGAGCAAGAACAAACCACAGGAGCACCAGCAACATAAAACACTGCACCACTGCCACAACAAATAACACCGATTTGTTGCTGAGCACCTTTGGTGGAGGATTGACAAAAACTTTATCATCTTCACAACCCATGAACTCTAAGTATGATGCTTCTGCCTCTTCTTTGTTAGGGAAACTCTTATAGCTGTTGTTTTTAAAACCAGTTACCTGGGCATTGCATCTAGCCCAGGTTGAATATACCCCAGGTACTCTTCCACGGTACACAACATACCAAGCCATTTGCCCATTAAAACACATAAAAGCAAGTATAAGATGTTGACAAAATGAAGGATAGTTCAATCGATTTGCCTCAAATTTAATTGCCTTTTCATTTGACCTTAAACTTGGAGCTTAAGAAACATAGACAGCAGCAAACCTCAAATAGATTGTAGAAAACCAAGATCATGACAGGAATGAAACCATGAGAGGCATCCAGCCCAGCCATCAGATCATCAGAATTGTCCAGCTATTGCTTGGGCATGGATGTCTCACATGGTTTGATTACAGCCATGAGAAGCATAAGCAGAAGATAGAAGAAACAATGCTCCAGTACCTCACAAGTCCAAGGTCAACAATGTGCATAATCCATTACTCAAACTGGCACTGTTATCTTCATAGGCATGAAAAGGATCTCACAATTATATCAGCCTCAGTCAAAAACTGCAATTATCCCAGGTGGCAAATAAGAACACAAATTGCTAAGGTAAGTTCATGACTTCCATGGAAGCGTGGGACACGTCCATCCCAGCCATCCGGTAGGCATGCCTACAACAGTTGCTTGGGAATGGACGTATCCCACGGTTTGATGAAAGACATGAGAAAACACAAGAAGACAATAAAGCAACAACAGGAAGAATACCCACAACAACCTCAGATTGCTATAGTTTACATCATTGGCCAAAAAGGAACTCCTACAAGAACAATAACAGCATCTGAAATGGCTCAGATCAACTAAGTGACAATCCATCACCCTTTGTTAATGTCTACACCACACAGATCAACAAAGCCTCACATCCATCACCATGGTTCCTATGCTATTCCAGACTAGGTGCAGCCTTGGTTAGGTGGCAAATGGTTCTTTGTAGCACTAGTTGAGGTAAGTGCTACACATCAAAATACTTCCTACAGCATAAGACAGTTAGCATGGCTATATGCAAAAGTGGAGAGGCCAGCTAGTATGCATCTAAGCAAAGTAGGTTGTGCTCAGATAGGTCCTAAGCCACAGGATCCTATGAGCCTCTGTCATCTGAACAAAGCAAAGTCCCTCAGCCTTGTTCTTCAGCAGGTAAACCAGGGCAAACATGAGTGCCTCCTGTGAGTACCCAGGGTAGTCCATAACACAGCCATAAAGATCCTGATGCACCTCATTGTGCTGTGGAGTCTTGAGGGCATCTCCTACAGACTCCATAGCCTTGATCATTCCATTCATGAGGTCTATTTCCTCTGGGGCAAGCTTCCTTCTCTTGCCACCCCTTTCCTCCTGGCCCTTGGCATCAGAACCCTTAGAGCCTTCCATACTAGAAGGAGTTCCCTTTCCAGACTCAGCCTCTGTGCCACCTAAGTCAGTGTTGTCCTCAACGATGTCAATATCACCTTGGCCAATGTCGATTGGAGTACCCAAAGTCTCATTTGAGCCCATTGCATACCTGTCTGTTGCCTGGTTACCACCAAAGATGGCCTACATCTGAACATAGTTCTCTATTGGTGTGTTCAAGAACTTAGCATCAGCAGGATGGTTCTAGTTAGCGAAACAGATGTAACTATTAGACATAGGAGAGCAAAATATAAGAGAAGGGATAGCTGAGGTGTTATCCAAATAGTTTCTAACCTTGGTGTGGCCTAGCAGGTGTTCATCATCAAGTACTATCATATGGTGGTCCTCATCCCACAGAGCACCACTCAAATCCTTGAGCCTAACAACCTTAACCCACCTTTGCCTCCACTTTCTCAGGTGATTGTAAATCTACTTGGTGGTCACATTGACCCCAGCAAACTCAGAGACCATGAGTGCAACCTGCCTAACATGTACCTCCTTGAACCCTTTCTCAGTTTTGACCCCCTGCCCCACCAAATCATGGAACCTCCTAAGCATGAACCCAGACTGGACAGGACTCCAGTGCATAGGGCCATTAGGCTGAGGGACTGCTTGGTTGCCATCATCAACAGCAACTACCCCACCCTGTTCCACCACATTATCCTCACCACCAATTTAACAACCTGGTCAGGCACATTGTCCATTTCCTATCCACAACCAGTACATAAGGAAAACAAATTGCATGGTATGAAATACAAGTTGAACAGATCAAATAGGAAGAAAAGGAATATGTACTACATCATTGCAAAGTGCCATAGGTCTCAGTAAAAATACAAGTTTCTCCAATGCTACTAAACAGTACACACACCATGCCACTACACCCTAGAATTCCCCCTGTTTTGCCACATCTGTGCAGCCCATGTCTCCCTCTGTTGTGCCCAGGTACCATTGTCAGGGACATGGTCTGGTTGTGAGGCATTATCATTGATGTTAGGTGTCCATGTGGATTCAGCAGGCACATGTTGTCCTGCCCATGCCTGAGGATCCAATTGTGAAGAATACAACAGGCTAGAACAAGCTTAACTTGGGTCTTGTATGGGTGAAAAGGTTTATTGTCTAATATCCTAAATCTATTCTTTAGAGCCCCAAAAACCCTCTCAACTGTTACTCTAAGAGACGAATGCCTTAGATTAAAAAGCCCTCTTTGATTTTGAGGTCGGTTTGAACCAAACTCTCTCAAATGGTACCTTGTGGCACGAAATTGTGACAAGAAACCAGGCCTCACTGCATAGCCAGCATCGACAAAGATAGAATTTGCCTAAAAATTAGTAGATAGAAACATGTTTTAGTAGTTTCATTTAGGATTAAGCAAAGTGTTAGTTTTTTTATGGATTGGATGATACCTGGTGGCACTCTAAGGCCATCATCTCTTTCAAGAGCATCAGACAAGATAAGAGCATCATGTGCAGATCCCTCCCAACCAGCAAGCACATAGGTGAATCTAAGGTCAAAGTCCACGGCTGCCAACACATTTTGTGTGATGATGTGCTTCCTGCCTCTAAAGGCAGCTTGTATCTTCACAGGCACTCTAGCTAATACATGAGTACCATAAATTGCTCCTATGCAGTCCTAATTGAAAAAACATAAGTGCAAGTGAATATTGACACTAAACTGATAATGCATGAGACCTATGTATGACAAGTTATGGATACCAACCTTAAAATAGGGGTACCACCTTCTGCTCCCAAGGATCCTAGGATGAACATTGATAGCAGGAGGGACAATCAATTCATTCCTTAACTCTCCTACCGCATATAACACTTTCTGGAAGAACCTACTAATTGTCTCTGCGAACCTCCTGAAGGTAAGGTCAACCACCATAAACCTCTCATTGTGACCAACAACATGCAAGAACATGGCTACTTGTTCTTCAACAGATGCATGCATGCTGTCAGTGACAAGCTCTCTACTACGGAAAAGGTCACAAAGCTGGAAAAAAGAGGCCCTCCTCATTCTAAGAAGGTTGACACAGTGCACATCATCAGAATCATAGATGTATCTAAGGTTGTTCATCCTCTGTATGTTCCTCTCAGCCAAGGGACCATAGGTGACTGAGTGCGAATCTTCAACTCTCCTCCTAAACCACATGAAAAATCAAGCCGCCACTACAACAACCACAGCAGCGGCAGCCCTTCGCCTAGCTTCAAACGCCATGTCTACCACAACAGGATGGAGGGCAACATTAGAAAGCGAGCATGCAACATGGGTATGTACTGCTTAGCAAGCAAAAAATCAGACAAAATGAACAATGAAAGACGCGGCTGCCACACCAAAGGGTGCTCCTCCAACGTATACTATTAACCAATCAACATCATTGACCTAGGCACTTTGCTCAGTGTGTACAACAATCCACCAATAAATCAATAAAAATCGACAGTGAATAAGAGGAGGGGAAGAGCGCAGGTGGCATATATATACCGTCCAAGCGCCGGAGGACCGAGAGAAATCCGCCGGCGAGTGTCGCCTCGGTAGGGCTACCGAGGTCGAGGGGGAGTAAGACGGGAGTTCGCACCGGAGCTATGGCGGAAGGAGAGGCGAAGAGTGAGGGTGGTAACCCTAGCCGAGACCCGCGCGCGCGCTTTATGCCCCGGACAGCCTCATCTCCCACGCTTGGCGCGAAGGTTCCCACCAAGCACCGAGCTAGCCTGTACCGAGAGGAAAGTGGGGATCGAGAAGACGGCGGCGTCCGGGATGGAGAAGCGAATCTGCACGAGAGGAAGCAGAGGAAATATGCGAGTAGGGCAACCAAACACAGCCGAAAGCACCGAAGTATGCGGGATGGGCCAAATGACGGCCCGGTTCGGGCAACCAATCACGCCCTAGCCCACCCTCCGCCCCTGATTCCTCCTCCCTAGCCCACCCTCCAATCTTCGCTTCCTCGCCATGAGCGCCGTCCCATCGATCTCCTCGTTCCGTTCGGTGCGCGGTGCGGCGGTGCCGGTGCCTTCCCTCTGCGCTAACGAGGCCTGCGCAGTGGCAGACGAGGCCTTCCAGAGGTACACGTCGCCGAGCTTGAGGAGAGGCGGCGTCGGGGTGGCCGTCGTGTGGTTCAGGAACGACCTCCGAGTTCTTGATAATGAGGCCCTTCTGCGCGCGTGGGCGGCTTCTGAGGCGGTCCTGCCGGTGTACTGCGTCGATCCACGGGTCTTTGCCGGGAGCACGCATTACTTTGGGCTCCCCAAGACGGGAGGTGAGAACCTAGCGATTCTGCATTTGTTCGTTGCTGCTGCATCAGGGATTTGAGATAGCTCAGGAAAATGCTGATTCTTGTCATCGTAGAGCCAACTGCAAGCATTGCCTGATTAGAAAATAATGATGATTTACGTGTATTTGTTGTGTTTGGTGAAACTTAAATCACCTATTCAGCATTGAGGGCGCAGTTCTTGATAGAGTGTTTAGGAGACCTGAAGCAGAGTCTGAGGAAAAAGGGCCTCGATTTGCTAGTCCGGCATAGCAAGCCTGAAGAGATCCTTCCATCAATTGCAAAGGCTGTCAGTGCACACACAGTAGGTCCCCTTCTGCACAATCTTATCTCAATCAATTTTAATATAGTTGAATTCTGGATCTTTAGGTACTAAATTCATGTTAGGCACCTAAGATTAAGTCAGAAAAGCGCTGTATCTCCAGATTTATGCTCACAAGGAAACCTGTAGCGAAGAGCTCCTTGTCGAACGCCTCGTGAGCAAAGGCTTGGAACAAGTTCAGATTGGTCAAGGAGGAGCATCTGTCCCGAAGAAACCTCTGAACCCCAGGTTGCAGCTCATCTGGGGAGCAACAATGTACCACATCGATGACCTCCCGTTCCCAGTTAACAACTTGCCAGACGTGTACACGCAGTTCAGAAAGGTTGGGATTTTCTTTGCAAATTCTAGGTCTTTTTTGCAGGCGTGATGATTAATGCTGAAGCAGTGTTTTTTGACAGGCAGTTGAATCGAAGTCTTTGGTTAGGAACTGCACCAAGTTGCCGCTGTCGCTCTGTCCGCCCCCTAGTTCCAGCATAGATGAGATTGGAGGATGGGGGACCATACCAACAGCAGAGTCACTAGGCCTGAGCGTTACAAAGGCAGGTTTAGTTGCAGCTAGTTGTGCTTTAGTCAGGTGCTTCACTAGTTCCAGTTTTAATCTGTACTGTTTTCTTCTCTCTGCAGTCTGAGAAAGGAATGCATTTCATAGGAGGAGAGAAAGCAGCTCTTGGTAGAGTACATGAGTACTTCTGGAAGAAGGATCAGTTGAAAGACTACAAGGTGACTAGGAATGGCATGTTAGGTCCAGACTACTCCACAAAGTTCTCTCCTTGGCTTGCTTCTGGCAGTCTTTCGCCACGTTATATTTGCGAAGAGATAAGGGATTCCTCATTGCCTGCAGAGCTCGTTAGCTTTGCCTAATACAATATGTTATATGTCCTTTATGATGCAGGTGAAGAGATATGAGAAGCAAAGAGTGGCAAATGATTCTACATATTGGTTAGTGTGCCTTCTCATAAGTTGCACTCCTCGCAGGCTTTTGTAAGGTGTATTCCCATTCATAGAGTGAAGCGCCTTTTCCTGACAAGTCAATGGCTTCAGGGTTTTATTTGAGTTGATATGGAGAGACTACTTCAGATTTCTATCAGCAAAATATGGGAACGCCATATTTCACCTGGGTAAGGACCAAATATGGCGCTCTCTCTCTCATACCCTTAGGTTTTGTATAAAAAAAGACCTTTTATGATGAAAATAATGCACAACTATGCCATTTGGGAAACATTTCAATTTTGTCTGGTAAAGGTATAATCCGGCTGCAAACTATTGTTTCAGGAGGTCCGAGGAAAGTAGTATCAGAGTGGAGTCAGGACCAAGCACTGTTTGAATCATGGAGAGATGGTCGAACTGGGTATCGTATTACTCCACTTTATTCTTTTGAAATCTGGAGCCATTGTTCTTGTGCCTTCTTAATTCAGTCATGGTAAATTCTAGATATCCTCTTATTGATGCCAACATGAGGGAGCTTTCAGCCACCGGTTTCATGTCCAACCGTGGTCGTCAGGTATCCTTCCACATCTGACCACATAAGCAGAAAAGACAGCAGAGGGCTTAACACTGCAGGGCATCTATTCCCAATTATTAATCTCTCAATCACTGCCTATCTGCAGATTGTCTGCTCATTTCTTGTCTGAGATATGGGTATTGATTGGCGAATGGGAGCCGAATGGTTCGAGACATGCTTATTGGATTATGACCCAGCTTCAAATTATGGCAGTTGGACATATGGAGCAGGTTAGTTATGTCTTTACTGATCCTTTAAATACTGGATAGAACAATATGACCAAAGAAAATAAATTCAAGAAAAACTACAAAGGTCGCTTACATATCCTTGTAGACTGGAACTGAATGAAATGTTTCTGCTGTACTCTGACAGGAGTTGGCAATGATCCGCGAGAAGATCGATACTTCAGTATCCCAAAGCAAGTAAGTATTTGACCAGACTGAACTCTCTTACCTGAAAAATCACTACCATAATGAACCAAAACTTGGGATACATTGCCACAGTGAGAAAATTGTATGTTTTATGAATCGACGGATCACTTCAAAGTACCAAGATGTTAATTTCACAGCATGTTAGCTTGTAACTATAGCAATACCAGTCCAACCTCAACAGTTGGTGACCGCGCATGATTGCATGAACATCCATATGCAGGCCAAGACATATGATCCCGAAGGGGAGTACGTTGCATACTGGTTAACAGAACTTCGGTCGCTCACAAAGGAAAGGAGAAATTTCCCAGGGGCCTCATACATCAGGCAGATAGTACCACTGAAGTTTGACGGTGAAAACCAGAAGGATCAGCAATTCAACCAGCAGAGAAGACCAAACATGTACAGAAGACAAGTAAAATAGGAGGCTCTTAGAACCATCTATCAGTAGGAGAGAAGTATTTTTTTACATAACTGATTGTAGTGTAAACATGCATGAATTTCTCTATGGTCTTATGAAATGTTCAGATGCATTCAGCTACACTTTGCAATGTTTGTCGGTAGATCCAGCACAAAGGATTAGAAGGACTAAACATTAACCTGCGAGGGTAAGGGTAAGAGGTCAAGAAAACCCCTGAACCTAGCATCGTAGCCCATGTAAGAATGACCACAAACGAGGCCGGTTTTTTTTACCTCAGCCTAAAATTTGCTCCAACAGGAAGTCGAACTCAGGACTTAAAGAGTGCTACTAAAAGCCACCTAACCAACTCAGTTAGAGGCCCATTCACAACACATTTTAACATGACAACCAGAAACTGAAGAAAGGCAAACATTTTCATTCAGGTTACCTCATTACTCAACAACAAAGTTTATGCGAGTACTTATTCACCAATACTAGCTCCACTAACAAAAAAAAAAACGAGCAAAATGATATTTACAACACGGCCAATGAGATACTCTAAACACTCAATGAGACACCTCACACCTTCAAAAGGGAAGCTACTCGTATATACAAGTTAGCCTTGCTGGGAGAAGCAGAGATTCGGCTACAACGTCACTGAACGGTCATGAAGTTGATAAATGTAGCTTCAACTTCAAGCCTTCGTAAAAGATTCTGTTCCTGCACAGTAGCGAGCATTGTAACTCTTGGCTGGTATAGGAATTCCTATTGACTGATCTACGTTGTGCACTTTCCACGCACAGAATTGTGCATCATGAACAAGAGGATTGGTTGCACGAACTGGTGGGGATCCCATAAAGTATGGAGGTGAAGCCTGCACTCCCTGCAGATTGCAAGGTCCGACAACAGAAGCATTAGTTTAATTCCAAATAAATTCCAGTTTAACTGTGCTAAAAATTTAAACCAAACCACCTTAAGAAAAGAGAGAGAAAGAAAAAAAAGGGATTTTTTTTAATAAAGGTGATAGATTAAATGGAAGTGGAACCACGTTTGAGAAACATCAGAATTAAGGCTGGATAACGAGCTGGCTCGGCTCGGCTCGTTCTGGCTCGTTAAGATAACGAGCTAGCTCGGCTTGCTCGTTATCCTAACGAGTCAGAAAGCCAGCTCGGCTTGACTCGTTAAAAGCTCGAGCTGGCTCGTTAAGCTCACGAGCCAGGTATAAAAAATACACAAAATATAATATTTGCATTTATCTAAAGTTTGAGAATAATAATAATATAAAATAAATGCATATAGACCAGTTACTAGTCAATTTATAGGGTCTAGACCAGTTATCAGTTAATTGTAAAGTGCAAGACATGAAGTAATACAAAAACTAATATAAGTTTTGATACTTTCTTTCCTGGAAGCTTGGCTCGTTTAGCTCGCGAGCGGCTCGCGAGCTGGCTCGAGTTGGCTCGTTATAGCTAACGAGCTAAAATCTTGGCTCGGCTCGGCTCGTTATCATAACGAGCCGAGCGAGCTAACGAGCTTCGAGTTTTTCGTCCAGCCTTAATCAGAATACAGGTAGTAGTTTGATAAAAGAACTTTACGTTCAAAAAAAATTGATGAAAGAACTGTAGAGAAACGAACCTTGCTAAGAATAAACTCAGAAAGATCTTGTGCGGCTCTCAAGTCATGTTCCCTATACCTCCTTGACTCATGAGCATCAGTACAAGAAAACATCAGAACATGCAAAGTGTATGACTGTTTATGCAAATATTTACAAGTACTATCATAACAGAACTGCCAGACCAGATCAGAGAGCTGGATTGTACCTGCTGCTTTTGCATGGTATTGGACACCTGATCGCTACATCTCTGCTTTCTGTGCTTTGGTAGGTTTCCATCAGTGTTTCTGCTCTTAGACCTTGTAGCCTTTTCATTTCCTCTGTTGCTTCATTTCCATACAATGCAAAACCTTTTTTATAAGATGTAAGCTGGGTCTTAGTAGCAGTTTGTATAAGTTACCCATAAAATGGAACTATATTATGTACAGCGAAGCATGGTCTGAACCTGCTGAAGGGTTTGCAGAACTCATGAAATGTTCCATACCCATGACAGGAACAGGAACTAAGCTGCTTCAGTAAACAAGGCTTCTGCACAATCAAGTGTAACCCCAATGGTGAATGGTGAATGATCAGTAAATCAAGAAAAGGTGTCTTCACATAGTTCAAGAGAATAGTTAACGAAAGAAAGGGACACACGGTTAACGGGATATTAGTATCACCAAACCCCACTTTCTGTGGGACCAGCAAACCTTCCTCCCAGTTTCTGTGATTGGGGAAGAGAAAGCCAAACTCGTCCCCTGAATCCTGTAACCCTAATGGCGCTCACCTGGTGCCCCAACACTGTACCGGCATACCTTCCTCCCAGTGTCTGTGGTTGGGGAGGAGAAAGCCAAACTCGTCCCCTAAACCCTTGTACCCCTAATGGCGCTCACCTGATCCCCCACCAGGCCATCACCCATGGTCAGGTAGCTCCCATCCCCATCATAGGTGCTCGTTCTGTAATCACTGTGGCTGCCAGAAAGTTTGTATCTGCCTGTGCCATCTCTCAGACATAATACCCCTCCAAAGCGGCGGATCCAGAAAAAACTTTAGGGGGCGCTGAAAAAAACATACCTCCGACTGCTGCTCGAAGTCTCAGCCTCACCTACACTATAGAACTTTGCCTAAAAATTCAGGGGCTCCAGAGGGGCAGAGGGGTTCCACTGCTACGGTATGGCCGGGTTTTTGGCGCGTGGGAAAGGTGAAACTCGAGATCCCAACAATAAATGCTGGAATGAATCCAGGCATTGACGCCGCGAAAACCAAACCTAACGGCCTCGCGCATTGCTTCACCCTCAGATTCCAATCCGTACAACCATTCACCATGGACCCAACAAGAACCTAGAGGCGAATCTTTCGACAACACAGCGATTGATCTATGCGAACAAAACAACCGTCGAACCGCAACCACGGACAAGGGAAGGAAACAGCACGGCGGTGGCAACTTCGCCGGTACGGGCTAGTTCACCAGATTAGTCGTCCTCCTATATACAGACCAGAAGACAGAAGAGGAGAAAGCGTAGAGGAACCACCTGAACGGGAGAAGGGGGCACCGAGGCTGCGGAGAGCGGGGAAGAGGGAGACGTCAGGCGTGGAGAAGAACCGCGCCCCCGCCGCCGCTCCCCGTCCGGCCGCCTTTGCCCTTGGCTAGCGAGCGTGCGTGCGTACTACGTGTGAAGGGAAAGCGAGGAGAGCCGGGCTGTTTGCCCCCTGTGTATTTATCCGGGAGATGAGAGGACGCACGCCGGGGCTGCGACGCGAGGCTCGAGGGCAAGACGGCGAGAGGATAAGAAGCGTGGGGCGGGTGCGGGTACGGAAAGGGAAAGAGGGGGGCGGCTGGCGGCTGGCGGCTGGCGGCTGGCGGGGCGGGGCCGCGTCTCGCGCGCGGCGGGGCTGATGAGGGCGCCCAGCCGCCGTGACCGTGTCACGCGCAGTTGCAGTTGCAGTTGCGCGGCGTGATGTGCAGTACACTTGTACGGTGCCGTCGCGCTTGTGTGAAAGTGAAACGGTGCCTTCTTGAGGGCGCCGCCACTGTGGATGGCAACGGGTACGTGTGAGGATACGGGTTCCATTTTTCTTTTATCCACGGGCATGGGTGTGGGTTTGATTTTATGCTCGCGAGTATGAAAATACCTTACCCGTGCCCGCAAACCCGCGAACCCATCTAACATGTGGGTCTGTTGCACAAGTATATAAAAGATTTTCTAGAGTTCTCCTTATCCTCCCCCGCACAGCCACAATCCCGCCCTCCCGCACGCCAGGCTGCAGCGGCGCAACCTCCCTCGGCTTCCGCTCCTAGCCTCCCACGCCTCGCGCCCAGGCGACCGCCGCCAGTTCCCCTCCGGCTGCCGCCCGCCCTCGGCCATCCCTTCCCGTCGGCCGCCCCCTCCCCGCCGCCACTTTTTCCGCCCGCCCTCGCTCCCCTCGCTGCCACCTCCCGTGAACAATATTTGTGTGATTTGAGCCATGTGTGTGCTGTTCTAGACTTGTCACTTGTGCTTGTTGAACCATATTTATTTGGCTTGTACTCTTGTTATTAAGATATTGAATAATAGTTGTGAGCTGTTATTTGTGAACTGTTATTTGTGAACTTATGTTGTTGTGCATTAGATCTGTGATCTGTACAGGTTTGTGATTGTGAACTGTGAATTTGTGATCTGACTGGCGGGCACGGGTGTGCCTGCGGGTACACTATGCCCGCGGGTGACGAGCGCGGGTTCAATTTCGGGCCCGTGACGGGTCGCGGGCGCGGGTGCGGACACAAGATTTGCCTCACAAGTGCGGGTTTGTAAACCCTCTACCCACGAGTAATGTGCCCGTTGCCATCCATAGCCGCCGCCGTGACCGTGTCATGTGCAGTTGTAGTTGCGCGGCGTGTAGATCGCACAAATGTGGAAAGGGAACTGCTGCTGCCGGTGCCCGGTGGGCCGGTAATCATGGACCTGAAAAGCCCACCAAAACGAGACCCAGATTACATACTCTTTCCTTTTCTTTCTCAAAAGAAAAAAAAAGCATACTCTTTCCTTTTTCATTCAAGAAACATTAGCGTGATTCTAAAAAAAAACATTAGCGTGATTGCAACGGTCTCCATGTTTTCTTTAGGGAAATTTTCCATGAAATTAATCCATGAGATGCAAACGGGAAAGAAACTGAGTCCCTATCAAAATGGTGCTTAGTTTAGAGACACGATTTAAAAATGTAGTATCTAGGTACATAACAAAACTATATATCTAAAAAAAAGCTAAAACGACTTATAATTTAGAATGGATGGAGTAGAGATGAAAATAAAAATGGAACATTGAGAAATTTTCGATAAAAGTGATATCATTTGTAACCATTCTAATTATTACCTAATTTAAACATTTGATTTTCGAAATACAAGACATCGAAGGTTTTAAATTTATCTAAAATTATAAGGTATTCTGGATTGTTC